AAAAGCTGCAGCTGGGGGGGCTCGCCTTTTTTGCCACCAAATCTATGAAGAACCTCGAGGACTCAAGATCCTGGTTGGATCCTTTCCCAAGGAGCTTCCGACGCTTGGGGCTCCTCGATCTGAGGCCTTAACCGTCCGACCCCCTCAACCAACCGTCACAAAGGAACTCATGTTCCACCTAGGTGAGAACCTTCCCAAACCGACCAACCTCCTGTCCCACTTCCCATGGTAACCAACCTGTGTGCGTCGTTTTCGGGGTGCCCCTCAAGTGGCGCAACAGTTGTCCTTTTGATTCCCTTTAAAACCCAGCAACAAGGGCTACCCCTCCCAAGAAACCAACTTACCCGGGAGTGTCTTTTTTGGGCACCCCAAAAAGTGGCTCCAACTCCCCCCCCCCCAAAACCAACCAAAAGACGAGCCCCCCCTGACGTCTGATCCAACCACGGCGAGCACTCCCCGCCTTGCGGCTCTCCGCGGCCATCTTGGAGGTGTCCGATAAGTCTGGCGCCTCCAGGCGCGACTGCCTCAGCGCAGAACCCCACTTAGAGTGCTCAAGAATCAGCTGATTGTTTACTATGTTTCTGCTCTGACTATATTTGCAGTTTGTTGGTTGATTGTTGTAGTATTGTATGATTATCATATAAATTTTGGGGTGGGGGGGGGAAACCATCTCAAAATACACCATCTTTCCGGAGATAGGGAAACCATCTTGCTTGAGAACTCCTGGAAAAGCGTCAACTTGCTTAATAGATAAGGAAGCAACGGGTTGGGAATGAAACGGACCGGACGCGGATCCACTACTAAAGGAAACCACAAGGGATGGTTCCAGAGGTGTCATGCCCCCACTGCAAAGAACCTGAAAGTTTTACGATCCTGGGGACTAGCAGGGTGACCAAAGCACTGAACGCAGTATGGCCAACCAAAAGACTCGACCAGGCTGTTGAGCTGGTCACAATATCCCTGGCTATTGAACTGCTGACAGATCAAGCAAGGGACAATGGGTCAATCCTTGTCTTCTACAAGTCTCATAGCACATGCCCAGGATTCCTGAACCTCAAAAAAAGGTTGACTTCTTCAGGGTTTCCCTTCGACTACCAACCAAACAACGGGCCACCGTTTTGGGAAACTCCCACGCAGCCCTTTCTCTCACCTGTTGCTTCTGAAACCCCTAGACTCGCCCCCAGGCTCGCCACCCTGGCTACACCACCCCGGACCGTCACTAAGTGCCCAAAGCGTTGCAAAGACTTACAAAGACAAGGGGCGGAGTCGACTGAAGGTTTCTCAAGCCAAATTAGGTCGTGACCATGGCCAAAAGTTTTGCAATTTCATTTCTGTGGGCAGCCCCAACTTTTGGATCACAACTTGGGGCTCTTCCCCTTCGATTTCCTGGTAAACCGTCGGGAAAAGCTTTGAGTGGTTTAGTGGAAACGACAAACTAACCCAACTCAAAACACCTAAATCTAAGTTGAACATGGCTGGTTGAACCACCACACGGCGTACAGCTTCAAGTCCAGCTCGCGCCGAGAATTCCGAGTCCCCCAATGCCAACGCCCCGCCAGGTGCCCCCGCTGCTCCCCCACACTCTTCCGCAGCTCCGGGATCTCCACCTCCAAAGCCTCGAGCAACGCTGCCAGCTTTCGCGCGGGAGATGGGAGAGGCTCGCAAGCTCCCACCGATTCACATGGAACCGTTCGACGTTTGGGAGCCGGTCCCAGAAAGGAAGCTGGCCTTCCAAAGCCCAACCCGAACGTCGAACGGTTCCACGTTAATTGGAGGGCAACACATTTGTTTCTCTGGCCTGTTTTTGGCAACGGATGGATCGGAGAGGAGGACCCAACGACGGGCCATGAAAACCAACTGAAGGTGAGGCTTAGGGCTGAAAAAAATGGAACACGGCGGCCTGATTCGTTTGGACAGAGAGGCCTCGTCAAGCAGACAAGACTGCTGGGAGCCAACAGCAATCCTCTCATCACAAGCAGCACCTGTGAGGAAATAGTACGCTGGGACAACAAGTATACCTTGGGGTAGTTGCAAAATGAAATCCTGGAGTGGTTCAGGTCAAGGCTGGGATAAGCCGAGATACGCCCAAGCGGCAAACCAGGATAAGGCTGGGCTAACCCAAATACGCCCAAGGGGCTAGCTTTGAACTTAGACACGGAAGAGGAATCCCGCTCTGTTCTGATTTGGGTGTGGCTCAAAATTTTAGAGCTAGGACTACGCAGGTGTTGGTCTTTGTTTCCATTTACCTCCACTTGCCTAGGGGCCATTTTGGGTACATCTTTTGAGCCACAGCCATTTGCTGGGACGGTTATTTGCCCTATCTTGACCCGCGCCTTGCTGAAGTGTGCGACGTCCACCTCTGCTCGCTCCTTGCCAGTGGTCACCTGAACGCGATGCAACCGGCGATGCCCATCTGGCAAGGTTATCCGCCTTAAATCCTTGCGGCAAAATGACGCCGGGAGAAACATGTGTGCATCTTCTGTTTAGGGGACCCCCCAAAATGATGATTTTCCTTTTGGTGTCCCTTTAAAGCGACCAAAAAGAAAGGGTCCCCCAAAGAAAGACACACCCACGTGCGGTTGTCTTGCAAAACGGGTGCTGCCTTTGCAGCGTCACTGCCTAGTGCGGTCCTTGCCCGCTGAGATCCCAGGAATATGCCGCCTCTTCACATGATCCGGGCTGATGCTACAGAGATCTTGGGAGACACCACTGCCCACTGTGCCACTGCTCCTCCCAACCACTGCAGGGGGGTCCAAGAAGGGGGGGTCCCGGGAGGTCGATAATCCATGGCTGAACCTGCTCATGTGCCATCAGAAATATTGTGTTTGTCCAAGGGAGAACCACCAAACGGACTCGTGCTTTGCACGCTGTCGGATAGCCTCATGGTGGGAACAATAACAAGTGAAGTGTGCATGTGGGCGGGCGCGTTGATGTCCACTTCTTGTATTTGGTTTGTTCAAGTCTTTCGATTTGTGGCTCCATGATGGTGTAGAGGGGTATATACATTTTGTCCAAACGCAGCACAACAAATCCCAGGCGCTGGCAATTGGTGTTTGTAGCAGGCTTGGAAAGAATCAAAACTTGCCATCCATTTGTGCTTGCTGCAATAGCTTGCACATCAAGGCCAATCCTGCCGCTTTCCAGCTCAGCCAGGGAGAGTGTTAGGTAGGCTTTTGCGTTGTTTCAACTGTTGTTCTTGTGGTCATCGTTGATATTATTGTCCTTATCCATTTGGTGTCACTTTCACAAGGGCTTTCATGTAACAACCTCTTTGGGGTTTTCCCGTAGAACCAAGCGGCTGCTTTCAGAATGTCCAACCCTCTGGCCTGCGCGATCAGCTGGTTCTTGGCCGAGGCCAAGTCGTTGAAGGCCTTTCCCGTGATTTCGGGGCCCCGCGGACTTGGGTGCCTGTTGCTGTTTTTTAGGGTGAGGGGTGGCGTTAAAGGAAAACCCAAAAGGAAAACCGGCAAAATCCTATAGGAAAACCAGCAAAATCCCATTGTTTGCTGGTTTTTTCCTGTGGCTTTAAAGGAAAACCAACAGGAAACCACCCAAAATCCGCTTGCTGACACCCTGCTGTTGTTCCTCGCAACGGAACGCGAGGGATGGTGCTGCTAACTTGGCATAGATGGATACTCAAGCGACAAGTTCGCAAAGTGCGGTCGAATCCGGATCCAGAATCGATGTTTCACTGAGCCCCCTTTCTGGAAGGTTCTTGAGGCTCTTCGCATAGCAAGCTCAAGTCTTTGCTTTTGCTTGCTAAAGTCCGGCAGGTACCATCGGTGGTACAACCCACACCAGCTGATCAAGCCAAAGAGAACAAAGAGAAACAAAGAACCAGCATTCAACGAGCAGGAAAAGGGTCGTCGAGATCTTTTTGGGCTATTTTCATACTCATGTGCCAGCTGGAAAAGCTGCTATAACCCCCCCCCCCCCAACTCTCCGACCCCCTTGTTCACGCCAATCCAGCTACAGATTTGCAGTTGCTCTGGACCTGTGATCCTACTACAGCTTCTGACAGGACCTCCTACCTCCATGGGCGGACCTCTGTCTCTTGCCCCCTCCTTTTGCGGTCTTCCCTTTCCGCACTGTCCGCCTTCCGAGTGTCGCTGTCAATGCGAATGCCAAACCTCAACGCGACAGCCAAGGTGATGCGACATGTTGGCAGTGGTTCAAGCAAGTCCAAACTGACGTAAGGGGAAAACAGAATAACAAGAAACCTGACTTCTGCTGCAATGCTTTTGATTCTTGGTACACCCAAAGGGTTTCCCCTAAATTCTCAAAGTGTTCCAGAATTTGTCGATGGAAGCTTCCCGCGCATAGCATCGCACGTTATTTGCAAATTACTTGATGGTTGTGGACATTCCTGCAACAAAAACGCAGAAACAGCTTCCTCCCTCAGCGGATTGGCCAACAAAGCTCAAACTGTGTCTTTGCCACTGAACTGGGTTGTCCTCAAATCCCCCGCTAAAAGTTTAACTTTTGGTGGTTAAATGGAAATCCCAACTAAACACTAAAAAGCTAAGGAACCGGGTGGCTGGGAGCCACCAAGTGAAATCATCGTCCCTAAGTCGTGAAGTTCGGGAACAAAACACCACAACAAACTACCCCACCTTCTCTTCGATGCAAACCGACACGTGTCTAAAAACCTGGGCCCATGGCTCGCGAATGATCTCTGCCATCTCTTGCACCTGGCCAGCTCTCAAGTGGGCAATTACATTTTCCTTCATGCCCCATCTGGTACTGGGGTTGAACATATCAAATATATGTATGTATAAATGTAATACATATAACTAGACCACGGTTGGCCCGAAAGCAGAACATCGCAAGCGAGGTCGGCCCAACGCTGCATCCCTACACGAAGCATTTGTGAAGCAAGCGCGAGACAGCACCAGGCAAGGTGCTCTGCGCAAACTGGTCGGTGCAAGTTGGTCTGCGCAAGTTGCTCTACGCAAGTTGCACTGTGCAAGTTGCTCTGCGCAAGTTGCTCCGCGCAAGTTGCTCCGGCAAGTTGGTCCCTGCAAGTGGCTCCCTGCAAGTTGCTCTGTGCAAATTGCGCTCCCTGCAAGTTGCTCTGTGCAAGCTGCTCTGTGCAAGTTGCTCTGTGCAAGTTGCTCTGCGTAAGTTGCTCTGCGCAAGTTGCTCTAGGCAAGGCGCTCTGCGCAAACTGGTCGGTGCAAGTTGGTCTGCGCAAGTTGCTCTGTGCAACTTGCTCTGCGCAAGTTGCTCTGCGCAAGTTGCTTTAAAATGCAAGTTGCATCTTGCGACGCCCGCCCGCGGACCAGGGAGGAATCGAACCCGCGACCCGCCGGTTCCGGGAGCAGGCGCGCGAACCACGAGACAACTCCCGAGGACCAGTTCGAACAACAAAAGTCGCAAAAAACCTCGAGTTTTTGCACCTCGACCACGCCCCCGCAGAGGGTGGCGCGAGCACCGCAGAAATCGCAAAAAACCTCGAGTTTTTGCACCTCGACCACGCCGATCCCCGCAGAGGGTCGCGCGAACGACCACACACTGCACTGCGAGATGCACCCAAGGCCAACACATGGAAATCTGCACTCTGCCCTAAGTGCCCGAAGTGCCCCCAATGCTTCGAGTGCCCCGGTTTCTTCGTGGCTCTAGCGCTGAATCGGTCTCAGCGATACTGTTCAGCCAAGCAGGTCCTAGACCACTCCAGTGCTTCGAAAATGATCGAGGCGCCTGGTCTGTACCGGGTCATTGGATGCCAAGTAAAAGTTTCAATTCGGCTCACAATCGCCGCCCTCATCAATGTCCTCCTTTTCGGAGGCGACGAACCTGCCCGAAGACTTCACCTTCACCACGAACTTGCCACAGGTCTTGTGCTTCTCGAATGTGTCGAGGAACAGCTGCTTGCTGCGCGCCTTCGCCAGAAAGCTCTTGCAGTGGGCATACCAGGACTCCAGGACCTCCATGTAGCCAAGGTGGTCCTTGGATGCCCGGGGCGTCGTCTCAAGCTTGTCCAAGAAGGTCGACATGGCGATCTTGGCATCGTTCTGCTCAAAGAACGCCCGTGTGGCCACCGCCACCTGGTATGGGCGGGGCCTGACAACGGTGTCGCTGCCCCCGGGGAAGATCCGGGCGATCTTCATCAGCAACCACATCAGGCCAGGAGCGCGGCCCGTCAGGACCTCGTTGTTCTTCAACGACAGGTCCACATTGCGGTGGTTGGGCTCAGTCGGGGTCCGGGTAAAGCGCATTGGCCATGGCACAATGCTCAATCGCCTTTCAACTCCTCCGTCTAGGTCCGTGAAGGAGATGGACTTGTTGGTCGAGAGGATCATCCCGAATTGCACCTGCGCATGATGCCATTGAGGAAGAACTGTGAAAACGGAAAATGCAAAAAAAACGACATGAAACAACAGCAGCAACCCCTCGCCTGAAACTCCACAATGTCACTGAAAAGGCTGCGCGCTTGCACGCGCGTGCAGTGCTCGCTCCACTGCTTGAAGATGGAGCTATGCACGGCCGCGGCCCGCTCCATCTCCGAGAACGTCACCAGCCGCGTGCCCTGCAGCCGCATGCGAGCAGGACTCGCACTCTCCAGGCCCTTGGCCGGGCAGCTCAGCAACTCGTGGCCCGGGGAGATGCTGTAGGTGCCGAACAGGGCCGCCAGCTGCTCCTGCCACCACGTCTTGCCGTTGCCCCCCTCCCCCACCCAGCAGTGGGCTTCCTCCAACCACTCGCGAGCAAAGAGCCTGTAGGCGCCGACCTTGCGATGGTAGAGGGCCGTCTCCCAGCAGTCAGTACAGCTACGGAGCGTCTGAAGGGCCCCCATGGCCGGATGCTTGACCCCGGCATTGAGCCGCTCCTGCAGCTCCACCGGCAAGGTGCTGTCCTCGAGGTAGTCGGTCATGCCGGCCTCAAAGTCCCGCACGGCCTGCAAGCTCGTCACAAGGTCGTCCAGCTCGGAATCCAGCTGCTCAAAGAGCCCCTCATTGTAGTCGATGTTCAGGTGCATCGAGAGCAGAAGCTCCCTCCTCCCTGTGGTGACGCTGTAGTCGTCACGGTCCATCACCTTCCCGTTGCGGAACATCACGAAGCGGCGGTAGGCCTCCCCGTTCAATTTCCGCATGAAGACCGCGTCGTACAGCTTGCCCTGCAGGGCGCTCTTTGCAATCACCCGCATGGCCGCGGTGCGATGCGCCACTGCCGGAGGCATGCCCTTCCATTTGGGCGGAGTGGCGGAGAGGATGACCTCGCTGGCCATATCGGAAAGCTGCTCCTCCAAGTGTGCCTGGGCCTCCATGCGCCACGCACCAGTCTCCGCATCGAAGTAGGCCGTCTCCAAGTGGGTCCGGCTTGTTGCAAGGCATTTGAACGACTCGGACACCGTGGCGCCGCAAGGCAGAATCTCGCGGGACAACAGCTTCACCACGAGCTTGTCGGCGTTGTCAATGCCCGTGGCAAGGTACCCCGTCAGCTTGCACCTCACCTTCTCCGTCTCCAGCCAGTCACTGTCCTCCCGCGTCCAGTCCAGGTCCGGGTAAAGTGCCTTGTACGTCGCCAGCGCCTCGGCAAAGCTCTCCTGCGGCTTCAACGCCAGCGGGTTGGGCGAGGCCGACTGCATGACCTCCAGAACCTTCTTCTGCCAGGCGGCCAGGTCAAAGTCTGCAGGGGTGTGGAAGGGGGCCACGACGAGGCCGTCATGTTCCCAGCTCACCACCTGGCCGAGCCGTGACTGCTGCAGAGCCCTGTCCATCTCATCCACGATGCGGCGCTCCTCGCGTTGACACAGAAAGGTCTGGAGCTGGGCCTCCACATACCCCTTCCGCTTCTCCAGAATGTGCACTTCGCATTGGCCTTGTCTTGAAAATCAGCCTTGCGGATTGTGGCAAGTTCGTCCATCAGCTTCCACACGAACGGTGGTAGGTTGGAGAGACGATGGGTAAGCCTGAAGTCCTCCACAAGGAAGTGCCCACCCCCGAAGAGGACGGCGTTCATGAACTTCTTCGCATCGACGCGGGGCACTCCCAACTCGCGGTAGACGGCCTCCCTGTCCTCCACAAGCGCCTCAAACAAGGTGAATTTGGGTGGCAATTGAGGAGGATTTGCGCTGAGCTGTTGCACTGGTCTATATTGGCCAGAGGGAGACCGCTGCGAATCAGGCTTCGCTCCAAGTTGGGCAGTGTGAAGGCAGCGCGAGATGCTGCGTAGCTCTGCATGCCGGCATTGCGGAGCTCCTCGAACACTGGCGGGAGGAAGTGGTAGTTGCCCACAATCTCACTAAAGGACTTGCCTTTCCCCCCAGGCGTCATCGCACTCTTCTGCTCCTCGGACACCTCCTTCTTCAGAAGCTCGTCGTATAGGTGCTGGTGGAAGCCAGAGTACATCCGACCCTGGAAGCCCATCTGCCTGGCAGTGCCGCATGCGCGGTACACGCTCCACACATGGCCAGTGCCCCGCACATCTCTTGCAAGGAATTCAGACAGAGTGGGCCTGAGGTTGAGTTGGCCGGCTGCCCGCAGCTTCCCAAACGCGTGGATGTTCTCCACGGCAATGGGCTCACATCCATCTGTCTATGTAGAGGTAGCTCGAAACATCACCTCGACTCTTGAACGGCGCCGGCGGCTTTTGGCGGGCCTTGGGCATGTTGGAAATCGCAAAAAACCATGGGTTTTTGCACCTCGACCACGCCGATCCCCGCAGAGGGTCGCGCGGGCATGTTGGAAATCGCAAAAAACCATGGGTTTTTGCACCTCGACCACGCCGATCCCCGCAGAGGGTCGCGCGGGCATGTTGGAAATCGCAAAAAACCATGGGTTTTTGCACCTCGACCACGCCGATCCCCGCAGAGGGTCGCGCGAGCACCGCAGAAATCGCAAAAAACCATTTTTGCACCTCGACCACGCCGATCCCCGCAGAGGGTCGCGCGGGCAGAAATCGCAAAAAACCATGGGTTTTTGCACCTCGACCACGCCGATCCCCGCAGAGGGTCGATTTTCGTGTAGTGTCGTCGGCACTACCCCGCCGCCCTAAGAAGAGATTTTAACTCCTCGCAAGTCAATTGCACTTGACTCCTTGCACTTGCAACTTGCACTCGACTCCTTACACTTGCAACTTGCACTTGACTCCATGCACTTGCAACTTGCACCTGACTCCTTGCACTTGCAACTTGCACTTGACTCCTTGCACTTGCAACTTGCACTTGACTGCATGCGCAGCTCGCAATGACTCCTTGCAATGACTCCTTGCAATGACTCCTTGCAATGACTCCTTGCAATGACTCCTTGCAATGACTCCTTGCAATGACTCCTTGCAATGACTCCTTGCAATGACTCCTTGCAATGACTCCTTGCAATGACTCCTTGCAATGACTCCTTGCAATGACTCCAATGACTCCTTGCAATGACTCCTTGCAATGACTCCTTGCAATGACTCCTTGCAATGACTCCTTGCAATGACTCCTTGCAATGACTCCTTGCAATGACTCCTTGCAATGACTCCTTGCAATGACTCCTTGCAATGACTCCTTGCAATGACTCCTTGCAATGACTCCTTGCAATGACTCCTTGCAATGACTCCTTGCAATGACTCCTTGCAATGACTCCTTGCAATGACTCCTTGCAATGACTCCTTGCAATGACTCCTTGCAATGACTTTCATGATGATGATTCCTTGCAATGACACCTTGTAATGACTCTCATGAGAACAACTCAAGTGAACCCAGCGGAAGAACCCTTCGCCATGCTTTCGGGAAAAAGTATGTTTATGCATGCACACGTGTCTGTGTATATCCCCAAGGAAAGGTTCGAAGAAGCCCTTGGGTCTGATCGAAAGGCTTTCGGGGGCCCCGAACTCATTCTACTGGCAGTTGAAGCAAGCTGCAGAGTGCAGGTTGGAAACAAGTCCGAGTTCATGGGCATTTTGAGCGGTCAGTCCTCACCGCAATGACATATATATATATATATGCCTTTGGCAATTCCCCCTATGGGCGGCAATCAACATCCATAACCCCAACTGACATGGAAATTTGCCAGCTTACCTATTGATAGTTTGCTGGGCGCAGCCAATGTCATCCCCCCACTACAATGGATGATACATGGGTATGTCTCAAAACAGGGGGATAGGGGAAACCCTAAAAATGACCGTGTTCAAAAGAGGGGCCAATTAAGGGCCATTTCAGAATGGACCATGCGTTAGTTTCCTAAATAGCAGTGTGTTGCAGCAAAAGGAAACAAAACAACTGCCAAGGAACCGGTAGCTCAGGCCTTATCGAGAGCCACTGGACCCAGCAAAAGCAATTGATGCCACAACTCGTCGCCCAACGTTTGCAAGATCTGGTCACGGCAGTGGAAAGGGTACCTTCAACAAATCCTGTGGTATCCATTTCCAGCCCTTTACGTGGCGGCAAAAAATCAAAAAACTTCTTTTTTTGCCGCCCCTTGCTAAAAAGTGAACAGAACCAAACAATCCGAAGACCCCGGATTCCGGAGCCCCCATAGCGGACAGGACGAATTCGATGGGGGTTCATGCCCAACCACTGAGGTGGCTCCTGAAAAACTTCGGAACCACCACCAACGCACCCACTCCACTGGGTTTGTCTCAAACCTTGGGAAGTGTCTCTTTGGTTTCCGGTCAAAGCACATACATACATACAAATAGTACGACACATTCTAGTATAACGCCAAAAGCTGAATTCAGGCATCCCCAAGTCAAGGATCTTTGCCATGGCTTGAGCTCGCTATACCCCCGAATCGGTGAGCTCACCATAGAACAGGCAGACATATGGATAGCTCACATGGCTGTGGGTCAAAAATAGGTACTCAAAATGGAACCCTGGTAAATGGAAAAGTTGACTAAAACCTGCGGTCCCCTGGTGGTTTAATTTTGGCCCACACCCACATGCCCACCCAAAGGTGTTACGAATCCATCGCCTCCAAAAAGCGCTTCTCCAACATCGGCAGCGAAGCGTCGATCTTCGCCAGGTGGACGTTGAACCTCGGAGTCGGGGCGGTCGGCGCGTGGGAGGCTTGGTACACCCTCCTCCTTTCAGGGTCTCAGGTTGGTTGGAGACACCAGAAACGAACCATGCCTGCTCAGGGGAACACCCTCATGAGAACGCCAATGCCAGGAATCCTAACCCCTCCGAAACAGTGGCAGTCTCAGGCCCTGAGAAACTGGTTGCGAGAGCCCGCAGAAGGCCACCTTTGCCCTTTCTTGGAACTCGGAAAAATGGCGCTGACAAAGGAACTGTCAGAACTTGCCTGAGAACTCCGTCGGGCCAAACTGGACGCCGTTGTACTTTGGACGGGAATTGCTGCTGCCACAGCCGAAAAACGCTGAACACAACACAAAACAGACGTTCGCTCTCTTGCAAGGCGGCTTTCGTTGAATTATCTGAATCCTTCCCTGGTGAAGACTATGTGAAGAACTTCATCAAGAAAGCGCTTGCGATGCTTCGGATCGAGCTCCGCCGTTGGTACGCGCGTTCTGGCCGTTGGGACGCGTTCGCCGCTGGGACGTGCATTTCCACCCGTCGGCATGTAGCCTTCCGCCGGTGCAAGCGGATACTTTCTGCGGAAAATCAGATGGGTATTCCAAGAAGTCGCACCCTTTTTCATCAACACACAAAACCTAGCCGCGTGTCCGAGCTGCGCACAGATCTTGTGAAGCAGCTGACGGCCAAATGCAACCGCAAAAGCGCCGTGGCAAATTGAACAGTGCCGCCACAACCCCTTCTGCCGCTGGACGGCAAAAGGCGCCTTTCGAGTCTCAGACTAAAAATTCCGCCTTTTGGAGTTTATAGGTGTTGATGCATCGCTGCAAGCTGGAGCAAAGTGTAGATCAATCATTTCACAGGACTCAGAAACGAGCGCCTCAGCCTGCCAACTTGCCAGCTCACTGCTCACTGTGAAAGCTTAACAAACTCGAGCTCCCTTAGGGCAAACCACACAGGAAACGCACTCGCTCACTTAGGTCAAGCGCCTCACCGGCAGCTGAGCTGCCGGACTCCACGTACTCATCCACGTTGCTGGGGTACTCCTTGAGTCGATCATTGGCCGCCTGGTTTGGGCGCGAAGTGGGCGGAAGACAACGGGGACTCATCGCCTGTCAAGAAGCATGGCTACAACCCACTGAGAAGCTGTGGTCGTTCGGCTCCCAGACTCCAAGGTTCTTGGAATGCAGCTCCTATGCTTAGCAATTATGCAACTGATGGCTCTTCAAAGCCTGGGTGCTAAAACGGCTCCTCCCAACAATCCACAACTTCGCACGTTCAAACCCTGACAAGTATCTCGTGGTCTCCAGATCGCAATCTGCCCCGCCTGGATTTCGTGGCTCAACTCCGAGTTGCGATTCATCGCCAACTCAGGGATGTACCTGCGATAGCACACTCAAACATCGGCGGAGCTACTTCTGGGGTTCTCATGATGGGCTTTCAAGATACTCCTTCATACGCCCAAACAGGACCAAGGCAAAGCGAGAATTGCACAGGTCCCAGCCCGCGAGGTCCTTTTGATGCGGAAAAAAAAACAACTCATTCGCACCGCCCTATCGGTTTGGAGTGGCCGAGCTCAGTCAAAATTGACTCCATCAGAAATCGAAAATAAGTTGCCTCAGAGGGAAACACAAGCACACCTACACTTGGAATGGCTCATGTTGTCTTTCTATTGGAGACCCTTCGGGATGCTGCACCAGCCCGCCTTCGACTTACGGTCTCACCGACTCAATTTCTCGACTGGAGTTGGACACCTTTGCATTTGTCGCGTGGGATTCGAAACAGGCGCCGCTTGCCCGAGATACATCTGAATGATTCCGAATCGAATGGCCACCAAAAACGAAAAGCACCCGTAATTCCCCAAAAGCTTGGTTGGCATATCTGCAACATCTTTGGATACCCAACTTACACTTCCAACAAACGTCGAAGTGCCCTCTGCTACTCCCGCAACCCTGGAAAAGAGACATCTATGCTTCCATTGCTTAAGAAAAAATCACACACATATTTCCAATAGCGCTAGATTCCCTTTAAAACCAACAATGGACAATAAAACATACTCTTAAGCAAGTGGACGTATTTGGGAATGAATGGGTTGCTCTTCTTGCTGGTTCTGATTGAGGAACGTTCTTGCTTTGGGAACATTGTCTCCTGAAGGGCCAGGCGGGCATGGTTGGAAAGGGGGGCTGTGCAGCCAGCTATGTGTGTTCTCTTGAGGGTAGGTTCGGAACCCCCATAACAAAGTGGCTGGCCACTTCTTTCCCCGACATGATGTCCACAGGGTCCCCAATTAACATACAATCCCACGTTGGTAGGGTCCTGCCATTGCCCCGTTGCACTGAGCCAGGAGGTCGAAGCAGCCGGTAGGCGAAGGCCTAACATTTTGGCAAGAAAAGAAAACCGACAGCCATTTTGTTTGTACCCTTTGAAATTGGTTTGGAGGGAACCAACATAAAACCAGCCATTTTCGGGGTTTCCCTATTTCGGCACATACCCATTTTGCCTCAGCCCAGCAGCCCTTGGTGGAAAATCGGGCGACGTGCTTTAGACCAAAGTGGAAGAAACGAAGAAGGGTGGCAGAGCACTTGAGGAGTCTGTCTCCCCCTACCCTGGTTAGTGGGTTCATTTGAGGAAAAACAATCTGACACCGGCGCACTTTGGAGGGTCTAGTCCGGCTTCCCACATGTGGAGTTGGAATTGCCAGGCTTCTGAATTCACTGGTGGCGCAAGGGCCGCCAAATGGACAAGTTTAGGCCTGGCGACACGAAACATCTCTGTCTGCATTACATAAAGAACATCCTTCCATTTGCTTAAGCCCCACAGGAAAAACAGTTGTATTTCCAGCAGTGATAGATTCCCTTTAAGACCAAAAAGGGCAAATAAACATATTATTAAGCAAAAGGAAGGTTCGAAACCCTTCTCTGTGAAACACTCATGTCTTCTGACTGTCACTTGGTACACTGCCCCCAAGGGCCATTTGTTCCAAGCACGTGTCAAGCAAAGCGGGGCTGAATCGTGTGGCGATTGTGCTCAAGAACTCGACTAAGCGTTGCCAAGTGTTTCTGAGCTGACACCGCTCGGGCTACTTCCTTTTGCTAAAAACGGCCGCCCAAACGGGTGGACAATCCAACGACACCACAAGGCTTTCTCTCAAAATAGGGGGCCCCCTTTTCGGGCGGGTTCAAAGGAAAACTAGAGGAAACTGGCCATTTTGAGGGGGACACCGATTTTGAGACACACCCAGACAATCGACCCGGGCAAAAGGGCCCTCCCACCGGTCGCAAATATGACCGCGCGGATGGCCGAACTCTTAAAAAAGTGTTTCGAGGGCTTGGCAGCAGCGTGCGCTGCATCTCCTGGCAGTCCAGGCGGAAGATGCCAATGTCCTGGCGACATGGGAGGGACGGATGCCAACTCAAACCAGCCACAGATTTGAGAAACGCTGCGCACGAAGGCTTCTTCAGGGCCCCATGTTGCAAGATAAGGGCATGTGACAGTGGATGCCTGAATATTGCCAGTAAACCAACCACAAACCATGATTGATTTCACAGGCCTTTGTTCCTCACTTGCAATATTCAGCTGGCATCGAAAGGATCTTCTGGTCCCATGGCAAGGCAAAAGGGCAAAGCCTGGATTGGCTAAGCTGGGAGGTCGCAGAAAGCTTGGGCTGTCGCTTGACAGGCTATGCAGCGTGAAAGTACCATTTGTCATCAACACCAGCACTTTCAGCTTGGCAAAGGCAGGCTTGCTACAGGGAACTTGCCATCTCATGGGAACTGAAAGAACACTCTTGAGGCAAATCGCCTTAAGTGATCTCCCAAAATTCCCTCAGATGTCAAAACTCCCAATTGGTCACTGCTTCATCGCTTACTAGGAACTTTTAAGCTGGGCAAGTTTCACCATGGCATATAGGGGGACAGCGATGTGCATCTTCCCAACCCGTACCAACCGAGTAAAGCCACCGGTCGTTGGACAATGTCGGGGCACAGGGATGTGTGCAGCTTCCCGCCATGGCCTTCGTCCTGCCCATGGAGCGGATGTCCTGCGGCTCGCTTTTGGAAACAGCTTCGCTGAAAGAGATCCTTCCCAAATCTCGTCCGGTCAAAGGTCGCACGCAGCGCAAATGGCTTGTTTGCTGGCTTGTATAGTTGTCCGTCTCTGTCTGTCCTTCCGTCCGTCCGTCTGTGTATCTGTCTTAGCTGTGTCTTTCTCTGCTCTCTGTCTGTCTGTTTGTTCTTCATGTCATTTATTTGTTGCTCATAGCTCCTACCCGAGCAAACATTGAGTCAGCTGTGCCTGTTAGTCAAAGAAAGGAGATCCACCTGGTTGTTCAACGTGGATGGCATTCATCCGTCATCATCTTCACACGGTAGACTTGGATGTGCCCTTTGTTTGCAGATTGCTCAACTCCAGATCACTCCCTCCCTTTAAGAGGGTGGTAGGAGCAGTTATATTGCTAGAGCATCTCAGGAGTTGCATGGCATAGTCCATCCACAAAACATCGGTGCATCACCATTATAACACAAGCGTCTCGGCAGACAAAACCACCCGCGACCTTGATACTGCCTACAACATGGTGTGCATTGATGGGAATTCTCCCAACCAGCTGATTCCAACAACATCCTCAGATTTACCTCACTGGAATTTCCTCATCCCCAAAACTGGGCTGTCCTCAGATCCTGCTGAAAGTGACCAACTTTTAGTGGGTTAAGTACGGACATCCAACCACTAAACCAACCAAAAACAACTAAAACATCTAAGGGAACCGGATGGCTCATGTTTCCCAAGTTTCTCCGATTGAGGGTGGCTGCCACTGCTGCTGACAAGCAGCATTTACCGTTGCTTGCATGAGGCACATGCCGATGCGGACCTCTGCGTGTCCTTCGACACCACTCGTCCACCCCCTCTTGACATATTTTACAGTAGATTGTTTCAGGCAGTTTGCTTTTGGTGGGAGAGAGGGCAATTACAAGCAGCCTTTTGTCAGGGCCGAGTCGGCTGTTTTTACAGCTCTAGTAGCATCGTGTGTATGCTCCTGAAGGAGCATATGGTATACCCAGTGCACACTCGTAACCCAGCGCTGAACAGAGTGGCAGTCCGTTTCTCTCACATGGACTCCGCTGGAAGCCATGAAAAACCATGAACTCCACAGGGAAGGTGGTCCATCTTCGAATGCGCTTCCGTCCACATGAGTCTCTTGGAGAAATGGGTCCAAATCTGTGGAACTGCAAGCCTGATTCGGGGGATCGGATGGTGTTTCTTGAAGCGTTAATGACCCGCAGCCCAACGAGTGTCCGTGGGAGACAATAGGGGCGCCTCCTTCTGCTTCTGGTACTTTGCCAGGGCAGCACCTCGGCGCGGCATGAGCTTCGAAGAAGGGGCGTTTTCGGAGGCCGCGGTGGACGCTCAGAATGTTCCAAGGATTCTGAAGACTTGCAAACTTGGAATGTTCTCAGAACAAGTGCTCCCTGCACCGGATTCTAAGCGAGAATGTCGCCTTTCAAGCGGGAGCCATGGCCTTGCATAAGCCCTGCAGATGCATCACCAACTGGGGTGAACAAAACAAAGCGGCAACGTGGTGCAGCCTTGTCGTTTCTGTCCTTTTCAGCTGTCTATGTCCAATTAACTTCCCGTAGTCTGCCTGTAGTTTTCCCACTGTCTTTTCCGTTGACGTGCCGTAAGACCTACACTGCATTCAGTAGGCCAAAAGATTGATGGCAAAGGCTTCATAAGCACGAGGTAGCCGGCTGGCTATCGGATTTGTTCTCGGGCGCGTTGACTATGTTGCTGTCGAAAAGCCAATCTCCGATCAAAGACTAACCTGGGCCTTCTTATCAACTGTTTGCATTGCGTTTGCGTGGTTCTAGAATTTGAGGAACATGCCTCACAACGGAGAGGCACCTTAGTTTCCCCCCGCGGTGATCTTTCAGGCGAAAGCCAGCGAACTTGGAGATCCCCGTCAGGATGAGACCATTTTTTGGCCCATCCGGTTCCTTTCTGCAAGTTGCCCCCAGATCCATGTTCTTGTTTTCTGCAAATCAGTGCTTCGGCAGCGGGTTTCAAGAGGCCTTTGATGAACTTCTGGCACCGCTTCTGAAAAGACAATGCCAAGTGCACAGAATGGAAGGCAGTCGTTGTGAAAGGTCGCACGTGTCATGGTTACCTCGTTTGCCCTAAGACACGTCTTGAAATGCAGCATCTACTCTTGGCATGCTGCGCAACATCGGACTCATGTCTGCTGATCTCGAAACGAATGCCGCCAAGCATTCAGTGGGCTTCCTGGTTCCTCTCAAGACTCCACAAGACATCTGAGGTTGCTTTCAGCTCTATCTGATATCTTCAAACAAAAGAAAACGTGTGTGCCGA